GCACCCCACAGAACTGGAGATCTTTGGGCAACGGCTTTGCCCTTCAACCACACAGTGGTCAACTCTGTTGCCTCCTGGCAACCCCAACCTGCTAAGTAAAGAATAAAATGGCCCGAAAATGAACAGCAACAATGAGTGGCAGCAGCTGGATGAGGACCTGTGTAAGATTCTTGAAACTGCTCTTGAAGGGGCAGCAAAACAGAAGATGGCAACGATGACGGCAATCATCTACAATGTGGCCAAGGAGCGGTTTTGTGTCAAGGAGAGGAAGACCAGCACTCCAAATGCCCGGCAACCAAAGGGGGAGCTCCAGGCCCCCGATTAACATACCTGGGCGGGTGTTCAAGAAGTGTGCAGGTCAGCTGGCTGGTGTCCTCACAGACATTTTAAACACCTTGCTGGACCAGCATAGTACCAGCATGCTTCCAGTCTGCCTCCATTATTCCAGTCCCAAAGAAGCCTCAGGTCACCTCCCTCAATGACTACCAGCCTATAGCCCTGACTCCTATCATGATGAGGTGTTTCCAGAGGTTTGTTAAAGAACATATGGTCTCCAGTCTCCCTCCATCATTCAACCCGTTCCAGTTCGCCTACCTACAAAACCGCTCCACTGAGGACACCATCTCCTCTGCACTTCACCTGAGCCTGGCACACCTGCAAAATGTGAACACCCAGGTATGGATGCTGTTCCTGGACTTCAGTTCAGCTTTCAACACCATCATCCCACAGCATCTGATGGGCAAACTGGAATAGCTGGGCTTCAATACACCCCTCTGCAATTGGCTGCTAGACTCTTACTGCGTTCCCTGTCTCATCTTAACCGGTCCGGCAGAAGACCGCCATGTTGAGCCTGGTTCTACCAGAGGTTTCTTCCCAGCGAGGAGTTTTTCCTCTCCACTGTCGCTTCATGCTTGCTCATCATGGACAGGTTCTCTCAACCTGTGTTATCCAAACTGGACTTCCATCTTCCAGGAAGTGAAGCTCTAGTATCAGCTCACGCAGTCCACTGGATCTCCCCATACAGCTCAGCAGACCGTCTCTCCAACCAGCAGTCTACAGACTGACCAACTCCATCTATCTCCACTTCACCACCAGTTTCAGGCCTGGGGGGAACAGCCCTTTTCTTTACTCCTGTTCATGCATATCTATCAAAATGAAGCAATATGCTTCCTGCCGAGGTCTGAGCCCCAAAGACAAAGTAATTATATCAATAAATTTTTCCTAATTGTCTTTTCTCTTCATGTGAGTTTTTCAGATTGAACTCTCTGTTGCTCCCTTGTGCCAGTCTCCTTTCCGCTAGCTCCCTTCTAGTTAGTTCTATCCACACCTGCTCCCCATCAGCTGATTAGCAAACTGTTTGTTGGGTCTCCCATACACTCCTATGCTGTTCTTCATTGTGAGTGTGTTTCTCCCAGGCATTTCTTGTTTGTTTTTTTGTTTCCTGTTTCCTGTTTCTGGATTTATGCTTCTCTTAACAATTAAATCTGCAAGAATCATCTCTGCATCAGGGGACCTTTCAACAAACCTAACAACTTCCTTATAATTAATTTTCTTAGTTTTATAAATAAATGGTAACAGTGTCAAATTTAACTTTGCAGCATCTTGAAATTTTATTCTTGTATGTGGTGAACAACTAGCCTGACGTAGTCCGACTCAATTCTAGTCAGAATGAGTCTGATGCTGCTCCATAGAGCTGTGATTATGGGGCGTGTTTTGAACGAACCAGGAAAAAAAAATGCCTCTGCACTCAATTGGATAGACCTACAAC